CTGTTTTCGTCAGAACGTTTGTTGAGGGATTGACTTCACTTGTCTCTTTGACCGGTTCGTAGCTTGGTATGGAGAATAGCAAAACTCACTGATGATGCCAACTATGATGCTGGCGAAACTTTTGAGAATGTACCAAGTCTACTGTCTGATGCTGGGAATCATGACAACTACTATGACAGACGAGTTCGGACTAGGTGCGTTCTACTAAGTCGCCCTGACAACAAGACCAAGTTGAGACAACAAGGTCAACCCACTTCTATAAATCGAAAGGAGACTGCGGCCATACCAGAGGCCACAACATCTTGGTCTTCATCTCTTCTATTAGTGGGTCATTTATATGAACTTCGAATATTACTCAATACGACTACATTAGTAAAATCATGGTATTCTTGAATGTCCCCTCTGTTCTGTGACCCATCGACAGTCGAGTTATGCAGTTTATAGTGGGCGTTTTGCCATTGGAGATGGAAGGCTGAATTAATTTCAATGGCATTCAGAGGTATTCTACTCATTGTATTAAGAGCTTCCAAACTATCAGACCGTTCATCAACTAAACTGAGCAAGACAGTACAACCTCGTAATTTTAGAGATGGCTTCTTGAATTATTCGCGATAATAGCCATTTTATATGATTGCTTTTAGTAGGAATTCGATGTTATTTGTTCTATTAATCAACTACGACTTGCTAGGACTCGATCTGAGTCTTTGACCTCTTATCACTGAGACCAAAATTCTTCTTGAACTTGCATTCGGCTATTGGCTCTTCTTGTGCTAAGATTTACTAGAATGAATCCTCCAACTTAATCGCAACTTAAGGAATAACTTATGTGGTACATCAACTTCTGACAGCATAGATCATAATCGTGCTTAGTGCGCAGGACCTAGGATTATATGTGTGATCCAGCCTATCTTTTAATATGCCATTTGCATTTTATGGTGTAAAAAATCTTTGCATCTTTTAAAGCTGAGTTGCTTTGCTGAGAGCTATACACTGTTGCGAGTCCATTTCTGCATACGCCTGTATGCTGTGCTGCTCCAAATAAGGCATTTAAGTGCTGAATAGCCGATTCCTGAACACGCAGATCGGCTTATGTATGTGATGGATAATATTACTGTCTACAATTCTTAATCCCTCGTAGTACAGGAATATAACGAATTTAAACTCAGCCTTAACAGCCCGCCCTGTTGGTATGAGTTGACAATTTTGCACTTTGTCAAATTTTGGCCATTATCGGCTATTTATTGTCCACGGGGTACATTCAGTCCACTTGCCAAATGGTTGCTTCCGGTCTTGCTGGCAATATGGACTTCACTTATTGGACGCACAAACTAGCTGTCCGGAAGCTGAAATTGGGAATGGGAGACCTTTTTAATGCGCTTAGTAGTGACTTGCATCGGCAGCACCGTAGACAGGCAATCTTGGGTAAACATGTCATTACATAGGACTGGGCCTTCTACAACTTCGTGCTCGAGGCCACACAGATGCATGCGAGTAGAGGAGTAATAAGCGAAAATAGTTCGAAAATTGCATAAGTTAAAATAATATTTGTGAATTTGATAGTTAAATAAATGTGTGTGTATAAGTAAATGGCTACATCTAGACTCTCAACTGGTCAGGCTTGGCGAAATAGCAGAAGACATCATTTCAAGGCATAATTCAAGACTGGTCTTGAATGCTATCATTTCATCCGATATAGCAGATATGATAGTAGAGTAAAATAGATGGTGAAACCCCCTGAGAAATTATCCGAACAAGGCTAAACACTAAATTACATTACGAAGTGTGGAAATCTTTGTCGCTTTAAGACTACCAAAATTGGAAATCCACCTGTTATTAGCTTTATTCATAATTCAACCTTTCTTTACATCCTACGCACATCCACACAGTCCTCGTATGCATGTTTACAGTCTAGACTATTTCACATGTTTGAGTTGAGTCTGATACTGGATGAGCGCTTCTTCTGTGTGGCCCGCATATTGTCTAGATTGTCCTTTTTGGGGTGATTGCTGAGGATGTCTACGTCATGAGAGGCACTTTTCATTGCCATTTCACGTTTTCTCAGTTCCAACTCATTTTTAGTCACATAAAACTTTACATGCTCCCTCTCCCCTTAACCCAGGTGTTGCGGGGCTAGCCCAGCTTTTTTAGACCACTTTTAGCTCTTCATTTTAGTTTGTCATCTTTTAGCGCGCTTTTTTAATGGTTTTATTTCGGTGAGAGTTAATCCGCTTACATTTAATTTAATGTCGTGTATTTTGGGGCTTCTATGGATACACATGCGCCGCCAGCCTATGGAACTAAAGCCCTTAAGCTTCTAAATTGGTACCTTGAACTTATACAATTTTGATTGCATTCAACATTGTTGAGCTCACTTCCATTTCGAGTGAAAGTGTTGGGTGAAGAGATTCGAGGATCGGTTCCACCAGAAGGCGACGGCAGATTCCTCTTGACCAGCTGTCGATTGGCTTTACTGAAACATTCATGTTGACGCTGTTTCCGAGGCAATCTTCTTCGATTCCGGTGAAAAGGTAAAGCTTTCGTCCGTCATATGACGAACATCATCAGAGCAAGGTATCATCGTCACAACAAAAATCAAGCTAAAGAGTCAAGGAGATTACCTCAGAGATAGCGCCAGCATGAATCTTCTAGTAAAGCTAATCGAAGGCTAATCAAGAGGAATCCGCCGTCGTCTTCTGGTGGAACCGATCTTCAAATCTCTTCGTCCAACACTTTCACTCGAAATGGAAGTAAGCTCAAGAATTACGAAACAAGAAATTCCTGGAAACCCAACTTTTCTTTGCATTAAACATGTCAAGGCTAGGCTTGTTTTCTATTTCATGAATGTTGTACAGCGATCTTTGCCTTCACTTCGATCCTCCTGCACCAGTAGAAGCAACATGTGTTAATGGGCTGTTGTGGTTACTAAAATCGCCATGTTGCACCTCAAACATTCTTAATAATAGCAGAGCAAAGCAACATTTCCCCGCTGCTGGCCCACATAGTCTGGATGAGATGAAAGCAGTCGTGTGTCTACCCTGGCCTTGTCGAGGGTAACTTATTTGTCGGACAGACAGGATGGAATACTACTTCCATTTTAATCCTGTGGCATGTAGGCACTTGTCGCTGCGAGTTTAACGTGTATTACTACCCCATTCTCACAGCTACATCTCTATCTGGCTGCTGCTTTAATGTTTGATGCATTGTTTGTTCTCTATACCTTTACTCTTTACTATACCGGATCCATATTGTACAAAGAGATGATTCATTTTATCAATCTCTTATATTTCTAGGCAAATATGAAACAGTGATTTTGGTCTAGATTAAGCGCTATCAATAGTTGACTTGTCAAGTTGTTTTTCACATCAATCCTTACGACATTAACTGAAATTAGCCGTTGTGCAGGCTATTCACATGATTCCAATTGTGGAGGACATTCGGAATTCACTGTATTTAGTCTGTCAGCAAGCAACGTATGTTTGCCATCCGAGCTCATGTTCCTTTTTATTTAAGGATTA